GGCTCGGAGCTGGGACAGCAGCTGGGGGCTCGGGGCTGGGACAACAGCTGGGGGCTAGGAGCTGGGACAACAGATGGGGGCTCGGAGCTGGGACAACAGCTGGGGGGCTCGGAGCTGGGACAACAGCTGGGGGGATCGGAGCTGGGACAACAGCTGGGGGCTCGGAGCTGGGATAACAGCTGGGGGCTAGGAGCTGGGACAACAGATGGGGGCTCGGAGCTGGGACAACAGCTGGGGGGCTCGGAGCTGGGACAACAGCTGGGGGGGGATCGGAGCTGGGACAACAGCTGGGGGCTCGGAGCTGGGACAACAGCTGGGGGCCCAGAGCTGGGACAACAGCTGGGGGCTCGGAGCTGGGACAGCAGCTGGGGGCTCGGAGCTGGGACAACAGCTGGGGGCTAGGAGCTGAGCTGCACGCAGCGGAAGGCTCAGGACTGAACTAGGACCCCCAGCTGAGGGCTCAGGGCTGAGTTGAGGCCCTGCAGTTGCAGCCCAGGGCAAGGGCTGAGCTGAGCGAGGCTGACACTGCAGGATAGTGAAAGTCACAAAGCTTCACAGAAACGCGGTGGCCGGCAGCTGAGGGCGGCAGCCATCAGAGCGGATGAATGTCAGTCAGGTTGAACAGTCGTCACACCAGACAGCCACCAGTAGTCGACAAACTGACCATTGCACGGCTTCTACACAGCCCTATCAGTTTTGTCTCCATGCTCCCTTGCTTCGTGGCATTATCGGTGTGTCTCTGGCCACCCCAGCCTGCTGCGAGAGACGAACGGCAGCTGCGGCTCGGAAACACAACACCACACCACGGCGCCGCGGCTGGCTGCGTGATGGGCAGACACAGCACACATCAGACAGCAGCCAGCCGGTCGGCCCGCTGACCCGCATTCCAGCCACCTGTTCACCGACGGGACAGACTGCCGTCTGTGCTCGATGGGCTGCACATGTGTGTGAGCTGAGTCACAGCACGGCGTGTGCGTGTGCGATACTGTGTTGTTCACTTAAGTTATTCACAATGCTGGGGAGACGGAGGAAGGTGAAGTGGGCCTGACGGGCTGCAGTTGTATGGATTCTCCGGGGGCAGTGAACTCTGGTGCTGATGACAAACAGGCGACGCAGATCTCGGATGTAGGTAGGTGGTGACTGTGATGTAGAAATGATCAGAAACACGGTACTACAAAGTGACTGAGGACCGAATCGAACGGTTGCAGGATCTGAGAACCGAATGACTGTAGACAGACACAGTGAGCGCTGGCACCATGGCTGTATAATTGTATATGACATCGGGCGATTGAAATGTGCCGGTCTCGTGCTTACTGACAGATATCAGGCGTTGAGTGGGTTGACATTTAACCCGCGCCCCGTAGGGCTACCGGCGGACCCTACCACCCGTAGGGGGGGGGGGGAGGGCGTTTCGGCCCCCCCCTAAGATCTCGGAAATTTACCGGCCGATTTTCAAAATTCAAACGGCGTTCGATAGCTCCACCAGGGAACTACCTTGTGACCAAAATTCATTGACCTAGGTCAAACCGATGACGTCACAGGTCAGGTCAAAGGTAAGATTTTCACCGTTCACAGGCATTTCAAGCAAAGTGTTGTGAAGTCAAGCAAATTGGTTAGTTATTGAAAACCATCGATGGTACATTGTTCGTCAAACACATACTTCGCTATCTGAGGTCACTGATACCAGGTCAGATCACAGAAGTCAGGTCACTGGGGGTCACAATATGAAAGTGTCGTGTGATACATGTTTTATGGTCCATTTTACATAACAAATGCGATTATGTTTGTCAGGCAGCCTTTGGGGCCAGCTTAGGCCACGTTTTGGTAAAGGTCAGGTCAAGGTCAGGTCAAATTAGGTCAAATTTCAAAGTTGAAATTTTTGCATAAAATGGGTATCGATTCGATGCAGCTCGTCACGGGGAGTCCAATGGTGGTCTTTGTTTTGCCCTACGTGGTCTAGAATTGCCAAAAATTGAGTTTAAAAATTTTACGTCATCATTTTTGAAGTTTTTTCGCTATAACTTGGCCAAAAAACGAGATATCGATCTGAAATTTGGTATGTAGATTAGAAGACGGTAGGTACTATTACATATGTTCCGTTTTTTTCGAAACTCAAAAAACTTTTTGGATTTTTCGGCTAATATATCCACAAAAATGCATTTTTGATTTTTGGGGATCAAAACTAATAAAAAATCAAAAATCCGAGATAGCAGTTTTGTAGCCCTGTCAATTCTACACCTTTTATGTCTTTTTTTCGGTCGAAAATGGCAGAACATGACGTCATTCTGACGTGATTTGTGGCCAACCTATCATAGCCTCTGGAAAAAAGTTTTGGTCACAATGTGTAAAATTGATGCCCGGAGGGTTCCTGAAAGTTTGGTGGCGATATCTCCAGCCGTTTAGGAGATATCGACGGAAAAGGACAGGGGGGGGGGGCGTTTCGGCCCCCCCCCCCCCTAAGGGGCGCGGGAGGCGAAACAAAGCCGCGAAAGACAGTTCAACGTCCGTCCCGACAAGCGACAAAGCTGTGAACCCTGTCACATCGCCAATTCACGTGCCATTGACCCCTCATCATATGATGATCGACATGATGATGCAGCTATAGCGCCACAGAGCCCGATGGCTTTCTCCGTACCTCTGACACAGGAAGGAACCATTAATAACTCCCGTCCAGTCGTCCGGAACCGGCAGTGCCCGGTCGCGCACGGCTGACACCGTTTACAGGCTGTTAGTTTATCGTGGGAGAGACGTAACGGCTGGCTGAACTGTGACTTGCAAACATTACGAACCGTACAACATCCCCATATCAGAGTATGGTAGAAGTTTGAACGTTGTGTTTGCCTATCATGCCTTTGTTGATCAGATGGGTTCTGCACTGACCGGAAACAATTTCGAATGCAACGATCGGGGATGGTCTTTTTAACTGCAGGCATTATTCAGCAAAAATAACACGGACTTGCGAATGCAAAGGGATAAAAGTAAATGGGAAAGTCTTCGGTCTGTCAGCACAGTAACAAAGATGCCAGAGCTCTCCTCGAACGTCGAGCCATCTCTGGCTGTCTTCTCAGCCGTTTAACTGGGTCGTGCGACCATATGCGCCACCATTGTGAGAGTCAGTCTGGCGACCGCTCGTTGACCACCCAGTGACCGTGCAGTGACCGTCCAGTGACCATGCAGCGGTCGGTGACTGATGGGCCTTTGTCCGGTCACGGAGCAGTGTCACCAAACCGTCACGGCGTGCCTCAGAGTCACGAGCCGGGTGACAGCCGTCACGGGACGAGTCACACCGGCCTGGGAGGGGAGAGAGGGGAGGGGAGTGGGGAGGAGATGGGAGGTGAGGGAGAGGTTACATACCGCAGCGTGCAACTCGGGAAGGGAGATGTGAGGGGTAACGACGGGTCTAGAGAGTCGGGTAAACTACGGGTAAACTCAATAAATGCCAACAAACCTGGGGAAGGGTCATTACAATTAGAGAACAACATCGAAAGAAAGTAATTGCACATTGCACAGAGCCGTTAGAAAACGGTCATTAGTTGTCACCACAGGCAAGGAAGGCGGCAAGAGTACAAGCGGATATGATGAACTGACACTATGGGCAGGGAGTGTGTGCGTATGAGTTTGGCGTGGGGTGTTCAAGAAGTGCATTGTGTAACGAATAATGCATATCCGGCCAAAGTGTGTCACAAAGACAATCGATTTCATTCAGCTTAGCCCTGACAGCGGTCCTATCTCGTGCCGCTGCCGATAGTCGAGCAATTTTATCTGATCGATAGAAAGCCGATTGTCCGTTATCTGAGTGCCCTGACATGAGCCACCCGGATGCATCAAGCACCAAGTCCAACGGGGCGCCGTGGGTTGGGGAGTTTGGAACCGCGGGTTGGGAGTTGGGACCGCAGCGCGGCGGAACCTCACCTCTGAGACCGGCAGCTTGTAGCACTCGGCGATGCGCTGGTAGAGCTCCTTGACGTTGCCGAAGCCGGAGATGATGCCGGTTGGACTGCCGTGCGCCAGCTGGCAGTGAAACTGCAGCTTGGGCTGCGGCGGCGTGGCCGGTCGCGGCGGCGGCGGCGCCGGGTAGCTGGGCGGCGCACTCTGGGGCGGTCGCTCCCGTCGCGGCGCCGCGTGAGGGGACGGAGAGGGCGAGTCGTCGAGAGACGGGGCTGTCGGAGCCACGCCGTTGGCCCCACTCTCGCCGTCCCTCCTGCGGGATTTACCGAACAGCGGCATGGTCCGCCGCGCCGCGACCTGCGTCACCCACAGCTCAACTCACACACTGCGTCACTGCCGTCACACAATTCACACCACGCCGTCACCTGTGCCCGCGTGTGACGCTAGCCACTGCAGAGCTATCTCTCTGCGACCAGCGCCGCGCAGCACAGCGTTATCCAGCCGAGCTGATAAACCGGGAACGCCCCGCCGGCCGCCCCGCACTCAGCTGACTGCAGAGCGACGGCCGGCTGACAGCGACGGGCGGCCGACCGTGACGGGAGCGACGCGACGACGGGACGACGACGGGACGACGACGGGTCTCCAGCGACGATGGGATGAGAGTCTGGGAGAGGACGTGACGGCGGCGGTCCGAATGACGACTGAGGCGGAACTCCGGCGCTGCCACCGCCCTCGTCTCGCGCCGAACAAGTGGCCGCAATCACGGTCTGGTCACGGGCGATGGGACCGTGCGACACCTGTCATCGGGACGGCAGGTGCGGTTTCGTGCTGCCATCTACCGACGGGATGAGAGGTAGGATCTCCGGTGGTTGCCGGTAGGAGCGCTGGCGAGGTCCAGGTCCGAGAGATCTGTGGAAGGTAGACAATCGGAGTGAGCGAAAATCAGGACAGGGACTGGGCTGGTGACAATGAAAGGCATGCGTTCAGCGCAAATGAGAGGAGCAAACTTTCATAGGCGATGATAATGATTTGCCAGTTGTTATTTGTTACTTGACAGTTGAAACGCGAATGCATAATGCCAGCGGAGTTATTCCATGAAACAAAATCGTTTATGCGACGGTGAGTGATTACATGTATTACACAGTGCACTGCAACACATTCCGTTTGCCATATTTCATCACACTTATAATATTACTACATCCTTAAATGTGCAGGCTTTGACGACAGACAAGCAGCAATCAGCATTCGCAAATCGCAGCAACACTGAATATTGATAATTGGTTTAGCACATTTGGCTCAACACAACAGAAATTGAAAGAATGCATTTTCGCTTTCATTTCCGATAGAAACTATTTTCGATAACTAAAACACATCCCGTATAGGTAGTTGGGTTCCCTCAAATATCCATTCCGCTCCATACAAGTAGCCCAAGGTGCGCTCAGTTCTGGCGAAACGTACGCATTCATCCTGATGTGCCGTTGCTGACGATCCTATAGTTATCAACAAAATAAACACCCACAGGCACACTTATCACAGACAGCAGCGGGATATACATCGGCAGGAGACCCACACATTGAACACCAGTCACGTCCTAGTAGACGATAGCACACGTGAAGCGAGAAAATATCATAAAGCTGAAACAATACAGACATGCCCATTATGCAGTACTGTCACTGCCTTATTCCACACTGTCGCAAGTTCGCCAGTTGTCATCCTCCCAACTCGTGCAGATACCGCCAGAACACATAAGAACAACAGTTGGTAACGCATAATGTCGCACACTTATGTTGGCCTCACGAAGTCACGAGTCAAAGACAGATCAAAACCTGGTATTCCCGGTCTGTCCTAGGCCCTAGCTCAACATGCTAAAGCAGTGTGACGGTGCGCAGGCGGCTGACTGCAGTAAGACAGTCATTGACAGCTTAGAAATGCCCGCGAAATTAAATATTTTCCGAATAGCTCACCACCCAGCACACACAAAGCATCCGCCGAGTTTTCGGCTAGTCGGTGGCACGGTAGAAAGCCATAAATATGTGTAATCGTAAGCCAGAGGACGTTAAGCCACTACGAATCCTACGCGGTTTCAGCCTGAACTCCATCCCCAGCTGCCGCCTCCTTCGCTCCTTCATCCCCCTCTTTCGCACTCTTCACCTCTTCTCCCTTATCTTCCTTTGCCTCTACAGCCACCTCGGTCCCCGTCTCAGCCTTCTCTGCCGGCCCTACCCCTGAGTCCCCAGCTCCAGCGGCTGACCCATTCTCCGCCGTCTCTGGACCCGGCTCCTGGCCGCTCGGTGCCGTCTCCGTTGGCTGCGCGCCGCCCGTCACCACAGATTCGTTGGGTTCGTCGAAGAAGATGATCTCCTCTGGGTCCGGCGCACGCGGCAGGAACTCCTCGCCAGGGAAGTGGGCGGTGAACAGGTCACGTGCCTGGAGGAGGAAAGGCGTCCGTTATCCGATGGCTAGACGGTGCTATTAAATTCGCGCCCTTTGAAAGAAGCGAATAGAATCGTAAAAAAATGACAAATGAAGATAGAAAGATAGCAAAAAAACCTTAGTCGATGACACTTACGATATTCTGTATTATCTTCATTCAGCAAAAAAAAAAAAAACAACAACAACAAAACCAGTGTTTTGCAATTCACCGCTGTTTTACATACAAGCGAGACAGAATATCCAATCTACAAAAACCGCATTCCTCATTGCAGTTTAATTCACTCACCTCTTGCACGGCAGCATCAAACCCGATCGCATCATCGGGTCCACTGCAGAACGCCACATTCTCTGGCAGTTCCTCCGCACTGGCGCCTCGGCCGCACCGCCTGCTGAAGTACAGCGAGTACAGCACCCTGATGGGCCGGGCCGTCTGCGGAGCGGGAGACTCGTCCGGGTCATCCTGTGAGGCGACAGCGAGCTGCTGGAGACGGGCCACGGCCGGAGCGAGGTCCTCTTCGGCCGAGCGGCGCGCCGCGCACGTCAGGTGGATCACGTCTGCGGAAGTGGAGAGGTGTGGGGTTAGATAGCGGGTCACGAATAGTGGGTTAGATAATCATGGATCACGAATAGTCACTGTTTAATGAAAAAGCGAGGATTGTGTGGATGTGCTGTGTAGCGGGATCACACAGAAAAGAGCGAACTATTCCAGGATGACAATGGCCATATTGTTGGAATTTGCGCCGATAAAGTTGGCCTTACGTCCTGAAACCGATCCAATCCAAGATATATTTCGTACTGCACATGAAAGAGCAAGACAAAATAAATAATGACGTGGCGACATGCACGTCTTGGCAACACATATTCAAACACTGGGTGACTGGAAACTGGTTATCAGTATCACCCAGTACCCAAAAGACAGCCCAACCGCAACCACACCCCTGTCCCCCAGCATGTTTGTCATCCCTCATAGCACTCACAGAGTCCGGCCGGCGCTGCGGAGGCGGCCGGTCCCGCCTGCAGTACGGTCACCGGTCCGGGGTGGTCGTCACAGGCCGGCAGACGGATCAGCAGTACCTGGTCATCGGCCGGAGGGTACAGCGGACTGTGGGCGCAGAGACGGCAAAGGGGGAAGGGAGACGTGTGAGTTGGAGAGCGGCAGAGGGTTGAATGTCTGGGAGGTATAAAAGCGTCAGTGATAGCTATGACAAAGAGTTTTGAGAGCTAGCTGAGGGTCGTAACCAAAGAGGAGGGCGGATGAGTGGATAATATACCCAGGAGGGGCAAGTCTGTGAAGCGATGTGTTCACATCTCAGAAATATTTGTATAAATCGTTGTGCGAAAGACCGAGGAAGGACTCAAATATAAAATCCTAAATGTACGGATAAGTGAAAGTTGAAACCACAAAAAACTTACGGAGCATACCAACACTTATTACAGCCTACCAAGAACGTACACGAGGCATGCAACCTAAGTACGACCAACCACTACCTATCAGCTCACCCGTCTGTGATGATGACCGCCCGTGACACTCCCTCTCCGCCCTCGGCCGTCTCCGGTCGGTAGGCGTCTTCTAGCACCAACCGACGGCAGGTGAACCGCTGCCCGTCGGAGACGACGCCTGTCAGCGCGCCGTCCTCGTCGACAGTGACGGCATCGACACCGCGGCTCAGGTGGTACACGCCGCCAAACACCGCACAGAGTCTGAACAGAGGGAGAAGGGTGGAGTCAGAGAGCGACACGTGGGTGCAGCGCATTCGGTAAATGACAAGTGGTAAGCAGAGGGAATGGGTGGAAAGGGCAGCCTACCAAAAACACGAGGTCACGTGTTGACCAATATAGGCCGGCCTAGAGAGAGCATCTGCTTTATGAAATCATTGACAACACATTTGTTACCAGGCACATATTCATAGAGATCATACTGAGGCCGCTCAAAGGCACGCAATCTTTCCGGCCATCAGTATTTAGAGGAAACGTTTCCGTCGAAAAACATAATAGCACCGGATAAAAGCCGCTACTAACCTGCAGAAGCACTGAGGAATCTCTCCACTGCCGTACATCGGCCACAGGAACGGCGTGTTGCCATAGCGACCGAGGCTGAGCAGAAACTTCTGCGTGGAACGCAACGCCTCGAGCGTCGGCGTCTCGGGGGATACCATGGCAATGGCGTGGGTCACGTGGTGTGTGAGATTGTGTGTAAGGCGGCGTGACTTGAGGAACTCGCTGAACGGTTTGTCCTCGAAACCTGCAAAAAAGAAAACGAGGACACCTGCATCAGTCAAATTGAAAGACGGAAATCAGACCAGCGTAACACTATAACATGTTGCCTCAAAAAAGTTCTTCCAACAAATTCAGACATCGATGGCAAGACACTGACAGAGACCCAGGGATTGTGTATTGTCCAGAGTCCACCATTCGACCTTTAACAAATCCAACCGTACGGCTGAGCTGTTCATCCAAAATTATTCCCCAAAAGGACACAAATACTCACGGTCCTTCAACCAGCTCACCGGCATACTCCTCTGGGTGTTTCTCCAGTTCCGCGCAGAAGCTGAGCAGCTTCATGAGCAGCCGTTTCTCGACGACCGACACGTGCTTGGTGGTGAACACGTCCGCCCGAGAGCTGGGCACCGGCTGAAGACGGTCTCCGAGCGGTGTCAGCAGCTGACCCACCGAGCGGAACTCGGCGTACCGGGCGATACTGGAAGAGATGAGCAGCTCGACCAGCGCGCCGCGGCTGTAGAGAACCTGAGGACGAGCGGCGGAGTGAGAAGTCGCGAGCACGACAGCGCGCTGCTGCTGTAGAGAACCTGGGGACGGGCGGCGGGGTGACCGGCAAGCACATGGCAATGGCATGGGTCACGTGGTGTGTGAATACAACCGATGGCTCTATGACGCTCTATGGCGTGTATAGCGCTGTCAGCGGCGACAGAGTGAGCGGTATTGCAAACGTTGCTATAGTAGTGAGGCAAAATAAGCCGGTTTTGGGCTATGAACTACCCGCAGGTTGCTGCCATAGTTCTAAGTCAGCTTAGGCTTCAGAATTCGTAGCTTTTTTTTTTACTTTTTATCATCCCATCACTAATTTTTAACATTGCTTCAGTAGCCGGTCATATTGCTATTAGCTGCCAACCAAATAACAGAAATACAGGAGATTTACAACGGATATCTTTCTTGCGTTTCATACCGCTCGAGGCTAAATTTCGTACCTTCGGGGCCAGGTCGATGTTGAACCGCCGGGAGAGTTTCTTCATCCGATTGATTGTCCACTCCGGGGCCTTCCTCGGAGCCGGCTGTGCCTCGACAGGCTCCTCCGGGGAAGCCGGAGCGGCATCTTCCGAGCCGGGCTCCTCCACGGACGCGGAGGGCGCCTCCGCAGTTTCCGGCGACTCTTTGGGAGCTGCCTCCTCCTGAGAGCTCTGAGCGACAGGGGCTCCGGTGTCCTGGTCCACCTGCTCCCCGAGCTGGTCCGTCGCAGTCTCAGGGACGGCCGAGGTCACTGTTTGGTCACCATCTGCCGGAGGCTGGTCCTGGGTGGATGTCTCGGCGACCTCAGGCTCGGCTGGAACCGGCGGATCGCTGCTTTTGTCGGTCATCCACCGCAACGGAGACGCATCAGTCTCAGCTTCCCCCTCCCTGGGAACGAGAAAAAATTGCTGAATAAGTTGCAACTACTAGGTAGCTCCACAATGAATTTATGCACAATGTGAAGTGAACGAGGTAAGTAGTGTTTAGTTCAAGCTAAAATAATGACCTTTGATACCTGACAACACAAAAGGTATGAAGCTGAATTATAAGCAGCTGTTAACTTCGAAGGAACTGTTGTTAGGTTAGGTTAGGTTAGGTTAGTTGCATCCGCACAACCTATCGGAATATCGAGCATCCGTTTATACATCTATTACTCCTCCCCCCACGTCACGTACTCGATGGCCCAGCGCTGCACCATGCCGTGCACCAGCCGTCTGTGCCGCAGGGACCTGGTGCTGAGCTCGGCGGGTGCCGGCGGCGGGGTTTCGGCTCCGTCATCGGCGTGCTGTGACACCCAGTCGAGGAGGGCGGTCAGGCCGAGCACGGCCCACTCGCCGCTGTAGTGGGTGTTCCTGGAGTGGCGGCATGAACACAGGGTCATCCAGCTTATAATTCAAAGTAATTCTCCACTTGGCAGCTCAGATGTATGAGGTCACAATATGCATATTAGCTTGGCCAAATGTGGCCAGAAAAGTAGCAATCTGAAAATGAAATACAGACACAAAATGCAATTGCAAAGAGAAGCCTCATATAATATTAGTAAAAAAAAATGCAGAGTGCAGACAGACCTGTCAATGTGAAGAACTGACTTTCCCACACGTGCAGCAGCAGCAGCATAAATGGACTCTACCAGGCCTGAAAGCATGGTGTGAGTCAGCACAGTTCAATGCCCTCTTCATAGTGCTGACATTAAATTGGTAGCCCATTGCACTTCTACAGAAATGAGAAAAGAAATATAAAAAGAAGTTGTTTTATTGTAACATTCTTCAGTTCCTTCACCCATATCATTTTATCTCACATTGTACTTCAAGCAGAACCATACAATATCACTGAATCCCTATTCCCTCCACCCACCCACCAGGCACCCCCCTCCCCCAAAAAACGGCAAATCTGAGAAAACATACCTGTCCCCACAACAATGGCCTCATAATCTGTAGGTAATTCTTCCATGGTGGTGGATATACTACCTGCAACATAATGTAACACTGTCAAGTGTCATATCAATATATGGCAATTGGCTTATCCATATGAATGAGTCATAAAATATTGTGATACTGATATGGAACAAAATGCAGCCCAGCATTCAGTTCTACTTTTCTTCTGTTGTCAACCCTCACAGGGAGAGTTACAACAAACTTTCATTTCCCTTGATCAATTTTACAACTTCCCTGATAATTCCTTGACCAACTTAAAGTGACCATTCCACCTTAACATTAGTTTTGAGTTGAGATAGCTGAAATGGGGTCCTGGCTTCCACTTATTGGATTGAGCACCCACAGACCACAACATCGAGAAATGCCTCAAATTGAAAATATCTAATTTCAAAGTTAAAGCACTTTGGATTCAGAGGGGCTTATGCATTTGCATGCCCCTCTGAATGTGTGACGTCAGCGCAGGTCTAATGATTTTAAATATTTTACTAAAACGTTTGGTAACATGCAGTGGTATATGCTGCTTTGAGCGTTACAAGTGCAGCACTTTCAGCTGCCAAACTGTTGCTTACAAATAGAGTCGCTAGGAACAGCGGAGATCCCAAAAGTAAACAAAAGTAAAAGTCTAATATCTTGAAAACCGGTGAATATTTTTATGTGAAATTTGGTAGGTATTCGTTATCATTCTTTCTGAACCGAGCAACATCACTTTCATGCCAATTCATTAACTTTTTTGAAGGTGGGAGGGTCCTGCTAAGTGACCTCAACCTTTGACCTGTGGCCACTTTCCTCATTCCTGAGACCATATTGCCAGGCCAGGAAAATGACATGAGGTGTACCCGTGTCAGCAGTCAGCACACGTTACCTGTGTGTTTCCAGACAAACTTCCAGCACCTCCAGAAACCTCCAGAAAGCTCTAGAATCCTCCAGAGAGCGTTCCAGCGCCTCCAGAAAGCTCCAGAAAGCTCTTGCCAAAGCTCCAGAAACCTCCAGTAGCCTCCAGAGAGTTAAGAGGTCCAAATTTCTCTGGAGGCTCTGGTCTACAATTATGGCGCACATGTGACAATCACGAATGTAAACAAAGAACTTTTGATATAATTTTACCTACAACTTGAATGTAAAGAAAATTACATTGCTATAATTTTGTTAATCTTTTTTACTAAAATTGAAAACAGATTTTGTGTTTCAAGAGAGAACAATTGTCATTCTTTTGGTATCTATGACGCCAATCTCCAGAAATCTCCAGATTGCGTTCCAGCGCCTCCAGGGCCCTGTTTCACGGCGGAGCGCTGCAGTGCGCTGCGCGCGTCAGTGCGTTGGGTTTCCATGGCAATATCAACAAACTTCGCTGTGACGCTACGCTATGACGTCATCGCAAAACGCTAGCACCGCAACGCCAGCACCATCCGCACGCTAGCAGTATTCGCACTCAAACTTCTGTTCAATTGATACAAGTTTTTCAGGGTCTCTGTTCGAAACGTGATTTACCATAAGCTAACGGATCGCACGCAACGTCATTCAAGTGACGTCAGGGGTATGCCTCAGCTCCCAGCGCGCGCAGCGTCGTGCGGTGAAACAGGGCCCTGTAAAACCTCTGGTAGAGCCTCCAGTCAAGAATTTCTACTGGAGGCGCTGGAACAGGCCCTTAGTTATCAGTACCTACGTTCTGTAAGAATTTTGCCTTCGCCAACATGTGACATGAATGTTCCATGGATTGCTTTGCGATAATATGGTGTGGTTTGTATTTAATTTTGAGCCTAACTAAGGTGCAAAAGGGCGATTTTACCCACAGCACAAAAGTATCCTTATTTAGTACCAAAACACGGCTCACATCACAACACACACAACACAACACAGCAGGACACAGCAGCAACGAACTTAACACAGAAGATAATAACCAAGGCAATAGAAAACTACAATAACACACTATTTTTAGACACACACCAGTGGACACGCAATAAAATCGCCAATTTGTTGCGCCAGTTTTGTATCGAACACACCCACTGAACTCTATAATGTGGAATGCGCATCGGCCGCCAGATGGCGTCCAACGGTGCCGCCATGTTGCGCAGACCAGGAAGCGGCCGCCGCCTGTGTTGGGGAATAGGGAATTCGGGACCTCGATTTACGTTTGCGGTCGCTGCATCCGTTACGTTCAAGCTATGTGGACACGGAACCCGGCATCTTACGCAGAATTGAGTGGAGAATAAGATGAAATCCTAAAAACTTCTCAGATGCAAGGAACTAATACGTTAAGCCACTTAAGCCCTTATAAGTCAATGGGGAAATATGAAAATTGCTATTTTGGCGCCGAGAATGATCTGAAACTATCTCAAGCATATAAAATCATGATTTCATTCACTCCTTGCAAGGTTCTATGCTTCATATTTGCATTGTTGCCCTTGTGTGACGTCATTTGTGACGTCACAAGGGTCACAGTTTTTCTTCAATAACTCCCGATCAAATTGAGCTAGCGATTCGGGAAAGCCACCAATGGACTCAGGAAGACCTGCCGAATCGAATGATATGCGACATGACCTCTTTCGACCAACTTCGTGACCTGGGGGTGCTGACCTGACCTTGACCTGAGGTCAGCACCCTAAGTTGACCTGACCCGAACAAAAAGTATATCACTCAATGCGCCTGAGCTAGCTAAACACGATGATGCCAAAATCGCGGCTCTACGGCCATTTTTGGCGAAGTTATTTACCAAAAACCGAACCCGTGCCTTACATCACTTGACCTTACCTCAGAGGTCACCGGTTGACCCGGGACCTTTACAGTGGGTTCCTACCAGTCACTCTGCATTATCCTTTGTCGCAAACGACCAATTTACCGCTTAATTCTAGTTTAATTAGCGGCGCATTAGCGAGGTGGGTTCAATCAACCCCCTCGGCCGGGGCAAATGTAGGTCCGGCGAGTGGATTTGAGGAATTCTGAAGATACGATCGTGTTCCCCACTCAATTCTGCGTAAGATGCCGGGTTCCGTATCTACGTAACTTGAACGTAACGGATGCGGCGGCCGCAAACGTAAATCGAGGTCCCGAATTCCCTATTCCTCAACACAGGCGGCAGCCGTTTCTTGGTCTCCGCAATATGGCCGCCACCGTTAGACACTACGGCCAATAGGGTTCAAGCGGCATTGCTCCCCTGTGAACACACCACAAGTGAGACATGCGTAATCAAAACATGCGCTAGCGTCATCTATAATAAGGCCAGCAGCTTCAATGTTTTTCTATTCTACCGCTAGATGTCAGGCTCAGGGTATATTGAGTGAATTGAGTGAGGTCAGGCTAGGGCAGAAAGGCCAAGAAAGCACCGAAAGTACATACCGTGGTACTGCGTGGTACATACGGTACATACTACATACATTTCCACGTGCTCCCTTGGCTCCACGTGCAAACCCATCGTGCAAGGAGAACACTGCACGCGTTGACCACATGCAAGATTCGTGCAAGCCTTGCAATGCTTTAGAGATTCACTTGCATAATTTCGTTTTGCTTACATTTAAACGTATGAATCATGAATGATTGACAATCTGGATCTAAACGGGTGAGTTGATTTGGCGCAGGCCGGCCCAGACATTGACCTTGCTGGAGAATGTCTGAGACGAGACTTGACTTTGAGGCAGAGTGCCCACTGAGTACTGATAGGCACTAGGCACTTTGAGCACCCGGTCGACTGAGGCGGGCGCTCTCGAGCTGCCTCCATACCGCCTGTCCGCGTCGCGCCGCGCGTTTTCTTACCGAGCGGCCGCGGCGTGGAACCGCCTGTCGCCGGCTGTCACCGGCTCTGTAACCCGCGCCGAGTTTCTGCGCCGGCTGTCGAACTAGTCGAGGATCTGGTTTGTCCGACTTTGGACCGTGTTTTTATATACCTATCTCTTGATTGTGATTTACTGTGAAATTGACTTGTCATCACGGGTGGAGAATTGTGCTGGACTGGGGGTGCTCGAGCTCTCCCAATTCCACGCCGGCCACGCCGGCTTGGCTTTGGAGCCGCGGCCGGGCGGCGCGGGTCAAGGTCACCGCTAGGCGGCGGCGGATTTGCTGCGCCCGAGCACCCCCAGCTGGTCACAATTCTCCACCTATGCTTGTCATGTTTTTATCTATGTACTCTGACTCGGACTAAATATTAAGCCACTATGTGGAAATGTCCTCAATACACCGAACTTGAACTTGAACCGCTAGGCAGGGACGATGTTGTTGAGACCTGAACGATGCTAATGACGTTATGAGGCCATTCTTATAAAGAAAAAGGACGGAGGGACGGAAGGAAAAAAAGAACTCAATGAATTAAACGATTCCGTCCTTTTTGGTTATCATAAAGGTTCCGTCCCTCTACCCCTCCCCCTTCGTTGTTTTGCTAGGATGCGTTTTTCGTCTAAATGATCAAGAGCTTTAGTAAATGAAACAGGAATTATTTCCTGCAATATTTTCTTATAAATTTCGTCACAAAGAATGCAATAAGACTAAGAAAATACTGTGTGATCGCGATATGGGTAGAATAAAATGAGAACCTGCAATTATTTGGGATCATATTTGAATTTTTTTATGGGACCGGGGACTGTTGTCTGCTACGATACATAGCCTTGGCCAAGGCCCTATATACCAGGTAGGGTCGTCCGGCGATTCTACCTTATCGTGACGTCAGCTCGTGACGTCATTTGGAGTCAAGTCTCGAAGCCCCGTTCAATCCCCATGTAAATGAGCGATTTTCGAAGCACTGTAGAATGAAGTCTGCACAAGATATATCAAACCTAAGTATCTTATCTGAAAGAGTAGACAATTTTCTGCAAGTTATCTTTTACGTGTTTTTCGCTAAATCTTTTGCTTTTTTCACAAAAGCGTAAAATGTCCCCCCATGTCTCCGCAGCCTCCCTGCCGCCGGCCGCCGCGCGGTCGCGGTAGTGTAGTGGTTAGCGTGCCCGCGCAGTATTCCAAAGGTCCCGAGTTCGAATCTATGCGGTGCGGAACTTTAATTGCAATTCCAAGCTGAATATGCGCACATCCATAATAAATTATTATTCGTATAGCTAAACTGTCACCAAGCTATCCATATAAATTGACTTCACCCAAAATATCGGCAAGATTCTATTAAAATATAAATTCAAATATGGCGGCTTGGACTGCCGCGTGCGTTAGGCTCCGCCCATAGCTCCGCCCACATGCGTGACGTCATTCGTGTTAGTGGACACGCAGAGAGATAGGGGACGACATGGGCCTGGCCTTGGCCAGAGGCCTTGGCTACGATCAAGGATAATATAGATAGGCGAAGTATGTAATATGTTGTAGTCTTTCCTGCTAGGCTGAAACCCACCAAAGATTGTTTTTGCGTATAAATGTGGTAATGCCTATGTCTTACTCAGTGATAGGATGTCTAATAAGCGGTAAGGGAACAACGCAGACACCCTGAGTTAGCGTGGCGGCTCGGGACAAGCGGTAGAGATAAAAGAGGAGTCAGGAGGGGATACTGATAAGGCATCTTATCGCTCTAGGGGACGACGCGGCGCGCGGCGAACGCGCGCGGCGGCTCGGGATGAAAGGGAGGGAGAGAGGGAAGGAGTAGGTAGAGAGAGAGAGAGAGAGAGAAAGACGGGGGGCGCAGGTGTTGTTTTGACGAACTGACGCTAAAGAGGGGGGAGGGGGAACGGGGGAAGAAATGGCCTGTGGATCTTCTATGTGTGGGGACAGCGAGGACAGTCCAGCGAAAGCGCTTGAGCGTGGTGGAGTGTATACGAATTTCTCTGCGTGCAAACAAGAACTTTAAGTGCTAACGAGAAGTTGTAGTGCCAAGTGACTCAGACCTCCAACCGTGATACCAGTCGAGGCGACAGAGGACACAGGACACAGGCCAGGTGAGGGTGGAGCTACTGGGAGGCAGTTGCAAACAGTAAACACCCACCACTTACTGGATATTGCATCTCAAGGTGTCCAATCCTGCCTGTTAATGTGTATGCCCGATAAGCAACGATAGCTGCAGAACGATAAGGTGGCGGTCTATAGGTACTTGGTCTGCATGTCAAATTGACTAATTTTCGTGTGAAATAGCTCCCGACCAATGTCATACAGTTCACACATGAGTGACCGACTACCCGAGTGAGGTATGTGCATTACTGCTTAGGCTAATCACATGATTAATGCATATGATGAAACCGAGGTTTGGAAGTGTATTGCTCATTTGTTTTGCAGTGTCGCGTCTGGTCCGCCCAGTCGCCGTGAACTGTGGAGGAGCCGAGGACCGGCAAGGACCCTCAGTCGGTGCCCCGCTCCTCCTGCAGTTGGACTCTGACGAGGATGATCATTTGAGTTTGACGGAGGGTAATCGTCAATCGACACTGAGAGATTCAGGCCATCTGCAACGGAAAGTAGGTAAGTGTGTACATGAGTGTAACAGTACCTATTGATATACCAAGGCACGCATGTAGGCACTGTAAGCCTAATACCAGTATATACCAAGTTTCAGCGCAATCGGCCCTGTAATCACCGGTTCACACCGAACTATTGCAACTGTTGCAAAACTGACACCTCTTCGTTTCGCACGTGGCACGTGTATAAGGGGTCACTTACACGTCAATCGTAAATAGTCCATTACTAGGTAGCAGGAATGAAGCTACCCTACAAAAATTACTTCATGTAAATCGGTCAAGTGGTTGCTGTGGAGATCTAAGCTTCGCAAAAGCGTGACCACGGCCGGCCGCTCACACTCAGAAATTTCTGCTATTCTACGCAAGACTTCGCTCGCTCCGTAATAACCTGTTGCTACTTGCTCGTATTTATAAAAATAAAAAAACCAATATTTATTCGAGCGTGGACCCTATCGAGGGCCACCTGGAACCCTATGGCCTAGGGAAAGATGTCTGACCATGAGCCCGAGGCACCATGAAGACGCGTTAAACCCTTCGATCATAAAAACGTCACGCTAATCACACCGGCCGTCGACGTTGAGGCGATGCACGTGGCAAAAAACCGCATCAGATT